GAAAGCAGAGACTAAAGTAATCCAAGATCACACCACTGCACTCTATCTCAAAAAACAAAAAACAAAAAAGATATTTTTCTACCTTAAAAGATTTAAGAATGGACACAGACACAGTCAAATAAAAAGGAAGGTAAATAATTGGCAAAACATCTGACTTGAGAAGAAAGCTGAAAGTGTGAACCATGCCTGGCTTGGAGGAGTGGTTTATAATCTTGACTTAACTATCATTCTGGAACTACTTAGGTAGTATTTTGGTGGCTGCCTATACCCAGTTCATAATGCAGGCTCTCTTTTTCTAAATAATCAGATCACTTATAGCTGGAACCATTCATTTATGTATTAAACAAATAACTACTGAGTGCTTTCCATGCTTCAGGTAATATTGTTCTATGCTGTTCAGGAGCACAGTGGTGACAAAGACACAGCCTCTGACTTCACAGGAGAGTGAAAGGGACAAAAACAAAACAACCTGATAACTTTATAATACAGAAGCTTATGTATAACAACAAGGGGAGACTGGAATTAAGAGAGCTCCACAAAATGCACTTAATCATAAATAACTTGTTTCACTCTTGGTCTCATGTCCTAATCTCCCCCAATGTGATTGTAAGTTCCTTGAAGGCAGAAATCACCTTTAACATGTCTGCATACTCCCTAGTACCCAGCTCAGTGACATATCTACAATAACCTATCACTAAACTTTGTTAATAGCTTGACCGATCAATTTCACTGACATGAAATGAGGCTATGGAGGTAAAAGTGTGTTTGCATTATTTTTTGCTTTCCAAGGAGGTTCTTGGTTGTTCATCTTTGCATTAACCCATCACCACCAATAAATAAGAATGTCTGATGTACCAATTAATGCTTTCTAAATTTATGGGTAGGAGGAACAATTTTGAGCTTCTATTCCTTGACATGCAAGAGGTCTGTGGTAACAATTCTTCTCCGCTAGCTAGTGGTGCAATGGACTAAGAAGGGAGTTTGGCTCTGCCACTTAATAGCTGTTACTTAATCTCTTGGGAACTTTGATTCCTCAAGTAAAATCAGTGTTCCCTTCCACCTTACTCAGTAGGCACATGTTTGTTTTGTAACTAATTTGGGTGCAAGGGGAGATCTAACACCCTATTTATAAACGGATGGGATGTGGCATAGCATCTTCCTTCACTTCTGTTGTTCCACAGTAAATTCTCAATCTTTATAGGGTTTTATCCCAGTGAATTATTTCCCTCAAAAACCAAGGAGGGTAATAATGAACCATTTTCTTACATTTTCCGTCAAGACAGCTCTTTGTGAGTTCTAAATGTTCTATCTAGATTCAAAGAAGCTGGTTTCTTCATGAGTGGTTGGAATAAGACTTTTCTTGGAAGCTACTGAATATGGATTAGTTGGATTGTTTCATAGGAAATAAAAAGCAGGCTCTAGGGTAACTACTTCAGCACTTAATTGGGTTAGCAAAGAACTGCAAATGAGAGGTTTTCCCGTAGGAGGGAAAGGATGCTTATGGCTCCCACCCCCTTAGGTGATGCATTTTAACCTAAACATTAGTCTTCCAATGCAGCCTTTAATTTAGTAATCATTACAAGAATCTGTTAGAGCAGAAAATGTCAGGTTGAAAAATTAACACATCACCAGAGTTAATAAGAACTCAGACTCTTATTAGATACAAATGGAGAGCCCTCTAACTGCACAACAGCCTATTGAAGTCATGTTTGTTGCAGCTCCTAAGTAGTTGCATCTTTACTGCTCAGAGGCTGGACCAAGGAAACTACCCAGGCACTCAAGCCAGAGTTAGCAGGGACCCTTGGCCTGCACTTTATTCAGGTATCCCTATCTTTTCCTCTCAGAAATGCTGTGCATGTCACAGGGTGGATATCCCTCTGCCTAGGACTCCCTTGGTAAGTGTTTTCTGTAACAAAGACAAACATGCCATGCCTGTCACCAGGGGCAGATTGTGGACTGTGTAAACCACTCCAGGAGAGGGAGGCTGAGGGGCTCCCGGCCATTCAAACTTAGCTCTGAGTTATGGTCTTTGTTGTCTTTCTACATTCAGACTGAAATGTGATTCCCCTAGCTTTCTTTTTTGGAAAATACCTGTAATGAGTTCCATGACTAGAAAGAAAAGCCGTTGACAGGAAAGGCTTCTGATAGAGAAGGGACTTCTTCATGTGTTCTCAAGGGAGACCGTTGCTTCAAGCAAGCTGAGGCAGGATGCCAGGTCTAGGAATAAGAGGTCCAGATCACAAAAGGGTTATCTTTAACTGTGGATTAGGCTGGGCATGAAGCAGTTTCCTCTGGAAGAGCAGTACCATGCACACAGAGTTTATGGCCAGGCAGGCATGCATGAGTTCTTCTCCATGACTTACTGTGCAATCTTGGGCAAATTGCTTGGCCTCTCAGAGCATCAGTTTGAGCTCTGAGAATATATAAAATAAATAAAATAAAGAATATAAGGCATGTATCACGGTGTCTGAAAGTAAGAGTAAGGGTTCTATGTGAGTGGTTAGCTACTGATTTGAAAATAGTATTCCTTCACCCAGCACTAATGATGTTCCTTGTGTGCCAGGCTCTGTATAAGGCACAGGTCCTCCTCCTTGACCTAAGGGAGTTAACTATTTAATAAACCATGTAAGTTTATCTTCAGCACAAAGCACTCCCAGCTCCCTCCCACCCCAGCATCAACACTCTGCCCAAGAAGGGCCAAATGCATACTAACTTCACATTGTTGAGTAGCTCCGAATCTTGCAGGTCATCCCCCTTTGAGGAGCCCTCCAGACTCAGCCGGTTCTACCTTCAATTCATCCATAATTCCCTATCTGTGCACTTCGCACACTACGTCACTGTTGTCTGTTAATCCTTTGTCTCCTCCTGTGAGGTCCTAAAGGATAAGGATTATGTGTTCATTTGATCTATTCATCTGATTATGTATTCATCTCTGTAACGCAAATGATTAATTGATCATTTGATCTGTTCATCTGCTCCTTTATTCATCTCTGTAGGCCAAGGGTTTCATGCATTACTCAGCACAGGCACACAGAGGTTCAATCCTGTTGCTGAGTACGTTGATTTCCAGCTGGGATTTTTTTCTGGGAAAATAGCCCTGCCTTCCATCTTTGAAGAGCCTCGTCTGGGCCCTGGTTTGGTTGGTCTTGTCATTTTCTGTTACTTTGGTTCTAGCCTCAGTTTCCTAATCTCTATAAGGGGCTAACAGAACCTCCTTCACTGGGAGTTTATGATGATGACTGGAGACAATGCAGCTTCTCTGTGTCCAACACAGTTCTAGGCACAGAGCCAAAGACCAGGAAAAAAAAAAAATTTGATTCCATTTTTGCTCTCGGCCAAGTCTAGTTGCCAATATAAGAAGACTAAAAATACAAGACATCATATGAGTGTCACATGAGTGGCACAGACATTTTTCCAGCTTGCATCTAGCCTCTGCCATATGCCACAGAATTGGCTGAAATGGGAGGATAAAAACATGCATAAAACAGTTTCAAGAAAACAGTGGCAAGTGTTAGACAAAAAGATCTCAGGAAGAGGGGTAAAGTCTTTTACCCAGATGTTTGGTCCATGGCTGTTGGAGCTGTCTTTAGCACCAGACTGGAAAGTAGGACGCTGTCCCGTAATTGATCTCCTCTAGGTGTTTTGAAAACACACACACACACACCACCACCACCACCACCACCAAGTTCTTCAGCATTTACTGTGTGTCAGACACTGTGCTAAATGCTTTACAGGCATTATCTCACTGAACTCTTAGAACAACAGTGTGAGGTGAATATGAACTTCCCCACTTTACAGCCGGCAACTTTGAGGCTCAGCGAGGCATCACAGCTTAACCAGACACAGGCAACAAGTAAATGGTTGAGGAATCCACCTGCTGGGAGTTTCACTGGCCTACTGGAAAGGAGAGAGACGGCGGACCAGCACAAATCCCCGGGCTGCTGGGAATGAAACAGGAAAGCTGGGTTCAAACCTGGGTCGCATGATCCCCAGATCCTAGGAACCGACGCAGAAGCACAGTAAGGAAAAAAGGGGTGCAGGCTGGTGCGGACGGGGTGCCCGGGAGAAAGGAGTCCCCGTGGATGTGTGCCTTGCTCGTCCCCAGTGCACAGGTCAAGCCTCTCCCCTCCCGCCCTCTCACCCTCCCAACCTTATTTAGAAACCGTGTCCCCAAGACAGGAAGGGCGGCGGGCCGAGAAGCACGGAGAGTCCCAGTCTCATTTCCTTTCGAATCCCCCTGTGGAATTTCATTTCATGCGGTGAGGAAATCGGAACGCGAGACCGTCGGCGGGTCTGCAGCTCCGCAGCTCCGGGGCGCCTCCCCCTGGCGGCTGGAGGTGGGCGGTTCCCGGCGCAGGTCGGCCGAGTCTGGGGGCGGGGAGAGGCCGGGCCCGGACCGCAGCGAGTCGGGAGTGAAAATAGCTGTGGACCCGCGCAGTACCAGGCACCGCGCTAAGCCTTTACGCTTTATCTCTAATCCTCCCAAGTGACTTCACAGAGGAGGAGACTGACGCCGAGAGGTTGAGCAACTTGCTCAAGGTCACACAGCGGGACTGAAAGCCACAATCGGTGTATATCCAAATCCCGTGTTCTTTGTGTTCGTTTCCCTGCCTGATGGGGATGTGGCCGCGGACCTAGGTGACAGCTGGAAGTAGACGGGAAGGAAAGGGGGCAGATGGAACAGGGCGCACTTCTCACCTGGAGGAGGAGAGGGCAGGACGGCTGGAGCCACTGGGCTCGGTGCCCCGGCTGGCTCCTGCGCGCCTCGATCCGGGTGGGAGGGAAGCGAGAGCCGGGAAGCGGGCGGGCGGGGCGCTCGGGGAGGGAGGGGGGAAGGAGGGGCGGCCGGAGGAGGGGCCGGAGGGCGGGGGCCTGACCCTTCCAGCGGGAGAGCGGCCTCGCCCCGCTGCCCCGCCCCCCGCTGCCCACCGCGCCCGGCCATTGGAGAGGCGCGCTGTCTGTCCCGCCCCGCTGCCGCGCCGCGAGCCTCCAGCGCCGCGCTGGGCTCGGGCGGTGAGAGCGGCGCAGCGCTAGCTGCTGGCTGGCTTCGCTGAGACGCCGAGCGGACGCGGCCGGCGCCGGCTTGTGGGCTCGCCGCCTGCAGCTATGACCCCTGCAGCCTTTCCCTCGGTCTCGGCCCGGGGCGTCTGATATCCCAAACAGTCGCGCGCAGCTGCCGGAGAGCCGACCGCTGCCCCCTCGTCGCCGTATCGCACTCCCTTCCCGGGAGCTGGGAGCAGCGCGGGCAGCCGGCGCCCCCGTGCAAACTGGGGGTGTCTGCCGGAGCAGCCCCCGCCGCCGCCACTGCTGCCCCAGACGCTGGCCATGGCCTGGCGGGAAGCAGGGCCGAGCGTCCCGGGGGCCCCCGGGGGCGTCGGGCTCAGTCTGGGGTGGCTGCTGCAGTTGCTGCTGCTGGTGGGGCCGGCGCGGGGCTTCGGAGACGAGGAGGAACGGCGCTGCGACCCCATCCGCATCTCCATGTGCCAGAACCTCGGCTACAACGTGACCAAGATGCCCAACCTGGTGGGGCACGAGCTGCAGACAGACGCCGAGCTGCAGCTGACAACTTTCACACCGCTCATCCAGTACGGCTGCTCCAGCCAGCTGCAGGTGGGCGCCCCCACCCCCACCCCTGGCGGGACCCTTTGGGGAGGGACGCTCCAAACTAACTTTGCAGAGCCCATGCCAAGTTGATCATCCTAGCCCGAAGGGGACAGCTCTCCTGGAAAAGTGATTTCCATCCCCACCCCCACTTTCTCAGGGACTGGAAGCCAAAACGTTGTGTAAGTCATCTGGCCTGGGAAAGAACCCACTCTTACGCCCCGCCCTTCCGTTTTTCTCTCTTGCCCACCCATGTCTGGCCAGACCCCTAGCCCAGTGAAGCTGAGGGTTATCTCTGCCAAGGATTCTGCCCACCACTGCTTGGTGGGCCAGTGGGAGAGAGCCAGCTGCAGCTAAGACTTGGAGGGAGAGATAAAGAGACCATCCCTCACCAGTCTTCCCTCTCCCCACTATTTTTGGGGTGAGGTATTAAAACACTACTGCACCGTTTTCTGCTGAGTTGCCCCTCCTCACCGTGTCCCTCAGAGTTTTAGAGGTCATGCATGAAGGAGTGGTTGGATTGGTTTGAGTTCTTTCTTATCCTCAGAGTTGAAGTCACATTTAATGCTTGGAGGGTGAGAAGAAGCTGCAGGAAGGTAGTTGGTATATTAGAAGAATTTTTTTTTGCAGTCGTTAAAAAATGTAAAGCTTATTTAATGATAAGGAAAATATTTATTCAACAGTAATAAGAATTTGCATATACAGGGTGATTATAATCCTACAAAAAGAAAAAAAGAAAAAAGAAAAACAATTTATTGGGGGAATAAAAGACTGAAAGAAACATTTTTAAAGTGTTAACATGGGTTATGTTTTGATTGGTGAGGCTGGGTGATTTTTAGAAATTTAGAAAATACAGAAGTTGTGGGAAAAAGTAGACCTTAATTGTCCAGACTAAATCTGTGGTCTGGCCCAGTGCGGTGGCTCACGCCTGTTATCCCAGCACTTTAGGAGGCCAAGGCAGGTGGATCATGAGGTTAGGAGTTCAAGACCAGCCTGACCAACATGATGAAACCCTGTCTCTACTAAAAACACAAAAATTAGCCAGGCATGGTGGTGCATGCCTGTAATCCCAGCTACTCTGGAGGCTGAGGCAGGAGAATTGCTTGACCCTGGGAGGTTGCAGTGAGCTGAGATAGCACCACTGCAATCCAGCCAGGGCAACAGCACTAGACTCCGTCTAAAAAAAAGAAAAGAGAAAAGAAATCTGTGGTTCTGGCTGTAACTTTTGAGAGATAAGAAACAGACATACAGCTTACTTATTAGGTGCATGTTTTTACATAGGTCATTTTAAAACTTGGTTTGTGGTTTTGGAAAGATGGTCGGGATTAGACCTGTTGCTGGTGAAATATCCCTTTGGAAGTTTCAGAACTTCAGAACTAGGTTATAAAAGCTTAAGAAATGATCCTCCAGCTCGCAGTTTGGAAAAAGCACATATCCTGACATCAGTGGCAATTTGTTGGAGAAACAGCTTTTTCAGGGATATATATTTTTAATTACATGTATCCTGGGGAGACAGCCAGGCTGTTTTGAAGGACAAGACTGGATCCCTTTACATGCTGGAAAATAGTTACTTGTAACTCTAGACTTCATAGACAACATCTGTAAGGAGCCAAGCAGACTGTTTATCAATGCTGGAGGAATTGAGGACAGCAACTGGACTCTCCCCTGCTGGTATTGCAGTTTCAGCGACTTAACATTTACATTTTCCTATTGTGCTTCATTATTATTCATTGAGGAAACCTGGCCAAACAAATCCCTAGTGACCATAGACCTCAATCTGCATCCCATCCTTAAGTCTAACAGTGTCTCAGTTGGGCCATTTTCTGTTTCTCTATGGGACTAGTTTAAACAAATTTTTAAGGGATAAAGTAGGGAGAAGAGAATATTAACAAGATCTATATATTTTTTTACCTTTTATTCTTAAAATGATTAAGAAATGGTGATAAAAATAAGCCCCCTAAATGACTGAGTCATATTAGTTTCTTTAGCTTTTTCAAATAGTATCTAAAAGGGAAGGAGATGGGAAAGCCAGTTTTTTAAGGTTTATTTCAAGTGCTATGCAAAGAGGGCTTAGGCAGTTCTTCAGACCCTATTTTTTATTTTTTAATGTACATTCCTCTGGAAAGGATTACTAGAGCCAAACTAGGCAAAGTGTGTGAGTGATGGATTATCAGGCACCCTTGTTTAAGGTCTGAGTAAACAGACAGACTCCCTATAGGTTTGGTTTAAAAGTAGATAGGTACATTGCCGGGAAGCATTCAGCTCAGCTTTGTGGGAACATTTGGTCACACTTCCAAGTCATTGTTTTTTCTTCATTTGTTACTCTTCCAGTTCTTCCTTTGTTCTGTTTATGTGCCAATGTGCACAGAGAAGATCAACATCCCCATTGGCCCATGTGGTGGCATGTGTCTTTCAGTCAAGAGGCGCTGTGAACCCGTCCTTAAGGAATTTGGATTTGCCTGGCCAGAGAGTCTGAACTGCAGCAAATTCCCACCGCAGAATGACCACAACCACATGTGCATGGAAGGGCCAGGTGATGAAGAGGTGCCCTTACCTCATAAAACCCCCATCCAGCCTGGGGAAGAGTGTCACTCTGTGGGAACCAATTCTGATCAGTACATCTGGGTGAAAAGAAGCCTGAACTGTGTTCTCAAGTGTGGCTATGATGCTGGCTTATACAGCCGCCCAGCCAAGGAGTTCACCGATATCTGGATGGCTGTGTGGGCCAGCCTGTGCTTCATCTCCACTGCCTTCACAGTACTGACCTTCCTGATCGATTCTTCTAGGTTTTCCTACCCTGAGCGCCCCATCATATTTCTCAGTATGTGCTATAATATTTATAGCATTGCTTATATTGTCAGGCTGACTGTAGGCCGGGAAAGGATATCCTGTGATTTTGAAGAGGCAGCAGAACCCGTTCTCATCCAAGAAGGACTTAAGAACACAGGATGTGCAATAATTTTCTTGCTGATGTACTTTTTTGGAATGGCCAGCTCCATTTGGTGGGTTATTCTGACACTCACTTGGTTTTTGGCAGCAGGACTCAAATGGGGTCATGAAGCCATCGAAATGCACAGCTCTTATTTCCACATTGCGGCCTGGGCCATCCCCGCAGTGAAAACCATTGTTATCTTGATTATGAGACTGGTGGATGCAGATGAACTGACTGGCCTGTGCTATGTTGGAAACCAAAATCTCGATGCCCTCACCGGGTTCGTGGTGGCTCCCCTCTTTACTTATTTGGTGATTGGAACTTTGTTCATTGCTGCAGGTTTGGTGGCTTTGTTCAAAATTCGGTCAAATCTCCAAAAGGATGGGACAAAGACAGACAAATTAGAAAGACTGATGGTCAAGATTGGGGTCTTCTCAGTCCTGTACACAGTTCCTGCAACATGTGTGATTGCCTGTTATTTTTATGAAATCTCCAATTGGGCACTCTTTCGGTATTCTGCAGATGATTCCAACATGGCTGTTGAAATGTTAAAAATTTTTATGTCTTTGCTGGTGGGCATCACTTCAGGCATGTGGATTTGGTCTGCCAAAACTCTTCACACGTGGCAGAAGTGTTCCAACAGATTGGTGAATTCTGGAAAGGTAAAGAGAGAGAAGAGAGGAAATGGTTGGGTGAAGCCTGGGAAAGGTAGTGAGACTGTGGTATAAGACTAGCCAGCCTCCAAGGTTTCTTCATTTTGAAGGAGGGGGGAATGCCAGCATTTTGGTGGAAATTCTGCTAAAAGTTGTATGCAGTGAATCTCATACAAACTAGCAACAATTAAGTGACTCCCATCAACCCACTGCCTCCCATCCTGACCCCAGCATCAAAACAAAACAAAACAGTGATTTTGCTGCAGACTTTGGAATGATCCAAAATGGAAAAGCCAGTTAGAGGCTTTCAAAGCTGTGAAAAATCAAAACGTTGATCACTTTAGCAGGTCGCAGCTTGGAGCGTGGAGGTCCTGCCTAGATTCCAGGAAGTCCAGGGCGATACTGTTTTCCCCTGCAGGGTGGGATTTGAGCTGTGAGTTGGTAACTTGCAGGGAGAAAGATTAACTTTTTTAACCCTTTACAATTTTAAATACTAACTGGGTCTTTCAGATAGCAAAGCAATCTATAAACACTGGAAACACTGGGTTCAGAGAAGTGTTACAAGAGTTTTATAATTTGGCTGATCTAACATAAACATCTTCTGTGGTGCACTGTCTGCTGTTTAGAACTTTGTAGATCGCACTCCCAAGAGGTGGTGTTAGAATCTTTCAGTGCCTTTGTCATAAAACAGAATTGTTTGAACAAACAAAAGTACTGTACTCACATAAGGTATCCAGTGGATTTTTCTTCTCTCTTTCCTCTCTTAAATTTCAACATCTCTGTTTTGGCTGCTGCCGTTTTCTTCATTTTACATTAATGACTCAAAAAAAGGTATTTTTATAGGAATTTTTGCACTGCAGCATGCTTAAAGAGGGGAAAAGGAAGGGTGATTCACTTTCTGACAATCACTTAATTCAGAGGAAAATGAGATTTACTAAGTTGACTTACCTGACCGACCCCAGAGACCTATTGCATTGAGCAGTGGGGACTTAATATATTTTACTTGTGTGATTGCATCTATGCAGACGCCAGTCTGGAAGAGCTGAAATGTTAAGTTTCTTGGCAACTTTGCATTCACACAGATTAGCTGTGTAATTTGTGTGTGTCAATTACAATTAAAAGCACATTCTTGGACCATGACATAGTATACTCAACTGACTTTAAAACTATGGTCAGCTTCAACTTGCATTCTCAGAGTGATAGTGCCTTTTTTTTTTTTTTTTTTATTAAGCATAAGAATGTTATCAGAGTCTGGTCTACTTACGACAATAGAGACTTTTTCAGTTTTATAAAGGGAACTGAGGACAGCTAATCCAAGTACTTGGTGCATAATTGTTTCCTAGTAATTGGCAAAGGCTCCTTGTAAGATTTCATTGGAGGCAGTGTGGCCTGGAGTATTTATATGGTGCTTAATGAATCTCCAGAATGCCAGCCAGAAGCTTGATTGGTTAGTAGGGAATAAAGTGTAGACCATATGAAATGAAATGCAAACTCTAATAGCACAGGTCTTAATTGCCTTTTACAGAGGTATCCAAAGCTTTTAAAATTTATCCTATACATTCTTCACAAGGGGGTACCCCCTAGCAGCCTCTCGAAAATTGCACTTCTCTTAAAACTGTAACTGGCCTTTCTCTTACGTTGCCGTAGGCCTTCTAATCATGAGATCTTAGGGACAAATTGTTGACTGTGTCACAGGTTTCTCTCCTTGTAACTCATACCTGTCTGCTTCAGCAACTGCTTTGCAATGACTCATTTATTTATTAATTGATGCCTTTAAATAGGAAGGGAAGCTCTTTTTTTTTTTTTTTTTTTTTTTTTTTTTTTTTTTTTTTTTTTTTTTTTTTTTTTTTTTTTTTTTTTTTTTTTTTTTTTTAAATCATACTTTGTGGAAAAACATTTCCAGGGACTCAAAATTCAAAATAGGTGGTCAAATTCTGGAAATAAGCATTCTTCTTTTGTCAAATTTGGTTTGAGCCTTATGCCCATAGTTTGATATTTACCTTTCTTCTTTCCTTAATGTTTTTGTGTGGTTTTTGAACTATATGACATCAAGATGCATGTAAGGTCCATTGTGTATTTTGGAAGGCAAGGTCTTGGCTTTTGAGATGGAAGCTAAGTGGGCGCAGGTGGCCCCTGCTGCTGTGTGCCCAGTGTGAGTACCTTGGCTAGACTCTGCGTCAGGCTCCAGGAGCATGAGAATTGATCCCCAGAAGAACCATTTTAACTGCATCTGATAATACATTGCCTATGAAATGTAAAATGTGAATTCCCTGTGCTGCTTGTAGACAGTTCCCATAACTGTCCAGGGCCCTAGAGCACGCACCCAGGGCCAGAGCCTGCCCTTACTCACGCTCTGCTCTGGTGTCTTGGGAGTTGTGCAGGGACTCTAGCCCAGGCAGGGGAAAGTAGACCAGGCGGTAGGGGACTGGTCTTGCCATTAGAGCGTAGGGGTTTGTAATGCAGTTTTCTTCATAACACTTCAGTGATCGTGTGACCAAGGCAGCATCTGGCAGAAGGCCAGGCATGGAATAGGTGATCAATTCTTGTCAATGACTAAATAACAATAAAAGAGCACTTGGGTGAACCTGGGCCCCTGATTTCTGAGTTTTGAGTTCTGGAGCTAGTGTTTTGACAGTGTTTTGGGTTTTGACATGCCTGTTCCATAAATCTCTTGCCTTTTCAGAGCAAAGTATATTTGATCAGAAGTGGCCAGTTGGATTAGTAGCCTTAGCAATGTTTCGGGGTTATAGACCTCTCCTTTCACATTCCAGACATTGGAGAGTGTTCACGGTTTCAGGAAAAGAACTCTGTGGCTGAGGAGTCAGTTACCAGTGACCTTCAATCAACTCTATCACCGCTTAAGTCAGTATTTGTTTTTAAAAAAAACTCAGTTATATTTATTGGGTGCCAACTGTATATAAAACCCTGAAATAGATAATCTCCGTTATAACTGATCTAGGGTGGGGATGCACCCAAGTCTGCCGAACTTTACTGTTCCTTTGGGAAAGGAGTGGGGACCTCTGGAATTCCCATCTGTTTCACTGCCTCCATTCCTTAAATCTCTTCCTGGGTCTCTCTACCTTTTTCCTGGGTCTCTTTTCGCTTTCCCAGGATTCCTTCCAAGTCACTTACAGGTGGTTTTAACAGAAAGCGTCAGCTCTGCTTCATGACAATCTCTGTAGAAATCCCTTAGGAAGACTATTAAGAATAGGCCACAAAGACATGGGCCCACACATCTGCTTTGGCTCTGGGAGCTGGCAATTCAGGGCTTGGGGTGCTCCATGTGACTTGTGTTGGTATATTTGAGGACAGCATCTTGCTAGAGAAAAGGTGAGGGTTGTTTTTCTTTTTCTGAAACCTACAGTAAATGGGTGTGATTGTAGCTTTTTCAGAAATCCCTTGGGCTCCAGAGATTATACATGGTGCAATGGCACCTCTGTCCAACCTACTTTGTGGAAGACTCCTTTCTCCTGCTTCATAAAGGCCAAACCTCAGGGCAAAGGAATATGGGGTAGAATGGAGCTGGCCAGAACCATCTGGTCGAACTACTTGGTTGATTCACATCCTCTTTCCTTTATGGAGACCCATTTCCTGATCTCCGAGACTGTTTTTGAGCTGGCAACTTACTTGGGCCTGAAACTGGAAAAGGGGTGACACTTTTTAAATTTCAGAGATGCTCTCTGACTTTCCTCTCTCGGGTCACTCTCTCAGCTGTACTCCCCAAACTCAGGTTCTGGGAAACTTGTGTGTCTAAATTCTGAACTGGGATTCTGTCCAGCACCTTTAGCTCTATACTCTCTGGCTCCTCATCCTCATGGTCACTGAATTAAATGCTTACTGGGTTGAGAACCAAGCTGGGACCTGAGGATAAACAGATGAGCTCAACAGCCTCAGCCCTAGAGGGACAGAGTCAGGTATTTCACCAGACCGGCACAATGTTTGATTTCTGGTGAGATGGCCACAGCTACAGTTAGGGAAGAGAGCCACAGACTTTGGAAGGAACCCGTTTTTTTTGTTGTTGTTGTTTGTTTCTTTTTGAGGCAGAGTCTTGCTCTGTTGCCAGGCTGGAGCATGTACTGGCACAATCTCGGCTCACTGCAACCCCCGCCTCCCAGTTTAAGCTATTCTCCTGCCTCAGCCTCCCAAGAGCTGAGACTACAGGCTTGCATCACACCTGGCTAATTTTTGTATTTTTAGTAGAGACGGGGTTTCATCATGTTGGCCAGGCTGGTCTCAAACTCCTGACCTCATGATCTGCCCGCCTTAGCATCCCAAAGTGCTGGGATTACAGGCGTGAGCCACCACACCTGTCCTGGAAGGAACCTCTTAAATTCAGTTTATATCTTGTATTTTGTTCTGTGATAGAGGGCACTGGAGAGAGTTGCTATTCCAGTCAGTCATATCAAGTCACTGGACTCTGAAAATTCCATTGGTTCCTTTATTTTATTTGAGTTCAGAGTTCCGATCTGGGTTTGTATTATGTCTGGCAGATGACCTGGGTTATCACTTTCCTCTGGGGTTAGGTCATAGATCTTGGAAACTCCTTCGAGAGCATTTTGCTCCTACCAAGGATCAGATACCAGAGGCTTATATAATGGATTTCATTTCAGTCTAGCCTACATAGAGCTTTCTTTTGCTGTCTCTTGGCATGCACGTGTGCAGTGATGACACACTTGACAGTGCTAGGAGACAAGTGACTTAGAGATACCCCAACATGCCGCTTCCCCTTGGCAAGCTCAGTTGCCCTGATAGTAACCTGTTTCTGTTTCTGATGTACCTTTTTTCTCTTCTTCTTTGCATCAGCAAATTCCCAGAATTTACCCAGGCAATTTGTAGAGGACCTTTTTGGGGTCCTATATGAGCCATGTCCTCAAAGCTTTTATACCTCCTTGCTCGTCTATAGTATTCAGTACATGACCACTGTCATCCCAGAAGGCTTCTGAAAAGAGGGGCAAGAGCCATTCTGCCCCACAAAGGTCGGGTCCATCTTCTCTCCCAGGTTGTAAAAGTTTTCAAATCATATTAATAGGCTGGGGCCCTGACTTGGCTGTGGGCTTTGGGAGGGGTAAGCTGCTTTCTAGATCTCTCCCAGTGAGGCATGGAGGTGTTTCTGAATTTAGTCTACCTCACAGGGATGTTGTGAGGCTTGAAAAGGCAAAAAAAATGAAGGCCCCTTGAGTTCTTTGTAAGAAAGATAGATGAAATATCAGGTATAATCTGCAAAAAGATAAAATGTGACTCCCCCTGCTCT